TTCCAACCCAAGCTATTCTATGATTCTATCATTCTAAAATGAGGTGGTTACTGGGAGACTGTTTCATCACCTGCTGACCACACTGCCATCACTGAGGTATAGATTTTATCCAGGGTCCTTACCAGAAGAACTCACAGGATAACGGATTACAGTCAGATACTGATCCAGAACAGGAATATGTCACCCTATGACATTCAAGCAAGGAAATGACATTGGTATGTGGTGGAAAAAAAGTAGTCTACTGGCAAATTACTTACTCTGGGGATGATTCCGGGGTTAAATTAGACATCTCCTCTGGTGTAGGTACTGCCCATGCACAGCCAGCCAAAGAGAGGGAGGGAGAAAAGAAATTCATGATTCAGTACACCTTCCATTTTCTGCCTGTATATCGATGAAACAATTCCGACCTCTTGCATATCCCCACTGCCTCTGCAGACTAGTTCTGACATTTGAACATTGGTCATATGTCTCTAGATCACTGTATCTAATCAAGTGCTGCATTTCAACGCCCACCCTACCCTTCCTTAAATCATTATATAATCTTGCACTAGCTCCAATGGTTTCTGGTTCAGACCCAAACACTGTGGCAATTTGGTTGCTTTACAATTGTTTCAAAGCTCAGTTGGATGCAGCTCAGTCACTGCTGCAATTCTCCGCAGTTCTCTGACCATCTCAGAGACAATGTCCCTGACCATCACAGTTCAAAATCTAACTCTTCCATGGCTGTAATCCTCCTTTCCCATGGGATCACATCCCAGTACCCTGTAAAACCACAGGGTGTGGGGATAGCTGCTGATGACACCTGAGGGTAATGCACGTGACTTTGGGTGCCCTTTGCCTGAATGCAAAAAGCCACCTGGAGCTTGAAGAAGAAAATATTGCACGTCTCAACACTCTAGAGACTTTGAAAACTGAAATAGGCCAGCAGATATGAATCCACCAATTGTATTGAGGAGATTTTTTCACCAATTACCAAAGGAGGTAAAAAAAGCATTAACCAAGATCAAACAAGCTGTGCTTCAGAAGGGCAATTTCAGCCTATTGCCACCGGCTATCTTTTTTCAGCAGAAGGCTCCGCCTGTGGCTACAGAGAGGCAGCGGAGTACAGCCACGGGGGAAACGGCAGAGCTCTAGGTTCGCTGACAAAACGAGTGGAGAAGCTGAAGATAAAGTTTTCTTATGTTCTAAGAGCCACAACAGGGATAGGAAGAGCTGTATGGCTAGAGCGTGACAAGGGCTCAGGAGATGCTGTTGGAGCTGGTGCAGTGGCATGACAGAGCCTGCTCACACGTGCCTTGGGCTAGGGCTGGCTGACACTATCACTCTCATTTTCAATATCAATATTCAGTTCTCAGTACATGAAATGTGCAGAGCCACAGAGAGATATCAACCTGCTGCTGAATGTCTGCCCAAATCAGAACCACCCTGTACGTCTGGGCGAGTACTCACCTTGCAATTTCCGGCGATGGAAGCGCGGAGACCCCAGGAAACTGTTCTTGATTGAGTTGAGCCGTGTCCTCCATGGCATTCCTCCGATGCTGGGGCTGGATGGTGGTGTTGGGTTGGGTGTGCCTGCTGGGCTCTCCTTTGGCGTATGGACAGGTGTCCCCTTGGGGGTAGGGAGGGGACTTCCCCTTGGAGAGGGGTGAGGGGTGACCTGTATGATGGGGATAGATTTGGTGCTTGGGTCAGTACTAGAAGGGAGCAATCTAACAGGAGACATAGGGTTGGTCTGCACTTTAGGAACAGCCAGCTGTGGGTTAAAGCCGGCAGCAGGCGAGCGGCCCTGAGCATTCTGCACAGCGGTGTTCTGGGAAGAGGGGGCGCTGGTATTGCTGGTAGGAAGTGGGTTGGATTTAGTAGACTGGAGTGGTTTTTCGGCCAATTTGCTCTTGGATGGCAAAGTCTGCGTCTTTGGGTTGGGCTGAAGTGCTGGCTTTGGTTGGAGTACATGTCCAGGCCTGGAGGCGTTCCTACAAGCATCAGGGTCCAAGGAGACTTGGGGTCGGGGAGAGAAAGGGAGGTCGGAGGTCTGAGGGGGGATGAAGAACTTTCTGATAGGCTACGAGACAGACGCAGAGTGTCCATGCACATCAAAAACAGTGAAATACGCATAGAGCGGGCGAGCAGAGAAAGGAAAGTCAGAATAAAATCCATCCGAGTCACAAAGATGCACCATGTCACACGGAGACACGAGAGATGGAGGTGAAGGGGTAGTGGGGGGGAGGGATTTTGCAAAGAAACAAAAACGAACAAACAAACAAAAAACAAAAAAAAGACATGCAGTTAGCTGGGAACACAGCATAATCAACAACAGCAGCAGCGGCAGCAGCAAGAACAACAGTGTCATAACAGGCTTCATCATATTAACCAACCACGTGTCAGCAAAGGAAAACAACAGAAAGAAAAGTAAAATAAAGGAAAAGTGAAAAAAAAAAAAACAAAATGAAAGAAAGTAACCAAGAAAAAAGAAGAGAGAAACGCCGTCTCTCTGGGATTGTTCTGATTGCCCTGCAGTGAGAGAAGCACGATGCTGTAGGGAGGTGAGGAAGGGGAAGAAGAACCACTCAAGCCACAGACAAATTGAGATGTGCCAAGAATGGGACCGCCTCTTTCAGCTCCAAGTGCCCATATGCAAACCCAGCAGAGATGAAACTCAAAACAGGTGTGCGATACACACGGAGTGGTAGGCGATACACACAGGTTACTGCACACACCAGTCAGAACCTCTTTCCTTCCTCTTTACCCCCGACTCTGGCTAACGCACAGCCTGGTTGCAGCCACCCATTGCAGAAAGAGGGGGAAAAGGGAGAGCGATGCCACGTGGGCGTCCACTCTCCTCCCCTGGCCTGGAAGGTTAAACCGCTCAGCATTCACTTGGAGGCTTCGGAGCACACACCACCACGAGAAAAATAGGAACTCAGGTTGGTGTTTGATTTGCAAACGGCTACAGCAAAAACTTCAGAGAGGCCTGGAAAATTTGTTTATCTGGGAAGAGATGATACTTCCCATCAGACTTTACGCTTCTCCTCATCGCATCGAAGGATAACTTCATAATCGGAATTTCTGTCATAAAGTCACAGCAATATTTGCCATTAAGTCCCATTGCTATGGGAGGTGGGGTGAGCCATTGTTTTATAAGACACATTTTAAAAAGAAAAAGACAGCCAAAGTTCATAATCTATCACTGAGTTATCAAAATGGGATTATGAATTTTTTTTGTCCCCAAACAAGAACATTTACACATTAGAGGCATTTTGGGAAACCATTCATATGTTGACAGCAAATAGCAATACACAGACTTGGGAGGATAGAAGCCTTTTAAAGGGACATTAGCAAGCTAAAAATCACATTTAAAACAAAACAAATGTCCTTACAAAAGATTGCTGTTAATGCCTTAAATTACAACTACTGGCAGAATTGTAAAAACAGAAATCACTACTCAAGATCTTTAGCTTTGGTCTACACTCAGATTCTGATTTCCATAAATTATTACCTATTACAAATTATTTATCACCATTATTATTATTATTATTATTATTATTATCTACTCTTAACACCTAAAAGCTGTAATCAAGCACTGTCCAGACTTACCACGTACACGTAACCATGCCTCAAATCTCAGTCCCAGGTAAGCACACTCACTAGTGAGTTTACTTTCTGAGTTTGATGGATTATATTGCCTTATTTTAAAAATGCAGAAATGTATTTAAGACTTAATTCCTAAAATTGTTTGCATCAAAGTTTTGTAATTACTTTAAAGAACTTACGGTTAGGCCACCAAAATTAAAAGAAAATTACTACATCATTTGTATTATTATTAGGATTGTAAAGTTAAACTAAAGTCTGCCATGTTGGTAAATTCTGATTACCAATGAGAAAGGAAGGGGAAAAGATGAGGAAAGTGGTTAATTTATGGAAATCACTATCAGCTTTTGACTATTAACCATTTGCAAATGACACCAATGGATAAAAGTCAAAGACTGTTGATGGCAAATGTTTCCTTGCAATTTTTGTATCTTATGTGTATGATGGTTTGATAAACAAATTTGAAAGAAATAAAGTCAAATTCAACTCCCACTTAAGCCATTAAGAATCTGAAGGGGACCCTTAATTACTGCATTTTTAATAATGAAATAAAGAACACGATTAGGTCTACATTTCAGCTGGTGCAATAGGGAACACCATTAGCAAGATCTTGTGAGATTTAAGAACTCTTAGTTGCTGTTGAATTCAATTCTTCATAGAACTGAATCTAAGCAGCACATACAGTGAAATGTCTATTTGCTTTTTAAAGTATGTTCTCTTTCAATAATCTAATGTGCTTTTAGAAGCATAGGTAAGGATGTTTAAAAAAAAAATGATTTTTCTTCCAACATTTCCTTTTAAGCCTCAAATTTGACCTGCCTTAATATCGTTATGATCTGCTGAAAATGCCATCTGGTTGCTAAATCCCTTTGAAGACTATTTAATCAACTGCCTATTAAGTAATAATGGTAAGATACAGCAACTATGGAAGAGATCTTGTCATCCTTATTCTTTGATGTAGTCCTACTGCGATGTCAGAAATTGATCCCAAGAGATCAATTAATGAGATCAAGATTTAGGTTTGCTGCACTGGATGCTTATTTTGTGCACAAAACTGTTTCCGTGCTCTTTTTCAGTACATTTTGCAGTGGCATAAGAGTTCTCAGTCCTCTGTTTCGTTCCACTGACATCCAGGAGTCCCAGCGCAGAAAGAAGGAAATGGATCTTCACTGGTTCCTGGCACGTTAAAGATGCAGAGGAGACCACAAACACATTTATGCCAGTTGCAAAACAGGGTAACAACTGATAGGAACCCAGAATATGTTTCAGAAAATAGTTCAATCAAGCAAGGAGTTGGAAGCTTTACTAGCCTATAAACTTACACCCGACAGTGTGTCTTTATGCACAAGAATTACCCACAGCGTCACTGGGGAATTACAGTTTTAAATACTTGGAATGCTGATGTTATCTTCATATACCCAAGAGTAGCTCCACAGGTGTATCCAAACCCTAACACATGGAATATATCCATTTCCAATGGGGGATGGAATCTTTTCATGAAAAGTATGTAGAAATCCTCCAAAGACTCTGGGCCAGACAATTAGGTAGCATGGATTGCCATAGCCCTACGGACTTCTTGATGTGGTCTAGGCTTTTGTAAGGACTGCAGTCTTGAAGTGACTAAGCTGACCTTGTCAGACACTAGGAATACTCACTCTTATCCCTAAAGAAGTTACCAAGGAGCGGGAGGCCTCTGTTATTGCACTTAGAAGTGTAATAACTTTGCAACAGACGTACTATCAAGCATGTTTTATACTTGCTGAGAATCAGTATTAGTTGAGAATCAGTATTTAGTTGACTGTATATTGAATAAGGGCATGTGAATGTACCTTATTTATAGGGGTTTGAGTGCTCTTTTCTCATCTTAATTAGTCAACTTCTTACTTTCCTTTTAAATTTGCTAGCCCTCAAATTGGTATAATTTGTTTTCTCTGACTTTCTAATAGAAGCTATTCTGAGGCAAACAGAATCAAGCTGGTTGTAACCGGCACGGTTTGGTGCTCTGCTGTGACCCGATTGAAGGTAGCTGTGAGCTGGTTCCCGATATTTGGTCTGACACCATGCCGAATACAGACCTCAGCTGGATATGGCAGTGTTTAGTCATAGCAACGTTATTTTATGTGCTCATGAGACTGAAAAAGGGCAGGGGCACAGTAAGATCCCTGCTAACAGTGCAGGGAACACGTATGAGAAATTCTCTGCTTGCATTTGTAAATAACATTTCCCTCACCACCCATGAAAATTTACAAGCTGCCAAGGAAAAACAAAACATCCCAGCTAAGAGCCACAGCTCTGCAGCAACAGATGTCAAAAAGCATCAAGCACGTGTGAGTGAATTGGACCAACAGATCTTGAAGCAGCACGACTTACCCTTGGACTGCTGAGAGGACTGGTGGAGAGCCCAGACGACGCTCCGCTGATTGACCGAGACCTGAACGGACACAATAAGGAAAACAGCCCTCAGAAAACTTGGACAAGTAATAACCCTGAACACCAGCCACCACAGGCACAGGCATGAAGTGAGGGAGGAGGAGGGAGGCTGTCACTGGAAAAGCACATGACTCTTTCTTTTCACTACTGTCACGATTTTCAATTCTCCCACCCTCAGAACAAAGAAATGCTGTTGCTCAGGGAGGATACTATAATCCCTTTTCATTAAGGGAGCTGCTACCTTCTTTTTGGTCATCCAGCACATGGAAGCTACTACGTCTGACCTGCGCAAGCTGAACTGCTGAATTCAAAAAGGACTGTCAAGACATTCATGTTGGTGCTGAGAATTCTCTTCTGCGCAGTGCTGGTGGACACAGAATGAGACGTTCTCTGTCACGAGCAACGTGGAAAAGCACCATGTGTACAAGGCACAAAGATAGGGGATTCTTCCAGATATTAAGAAAAAAAAACAAGTCTCCATGACCCAAGCACACAATCATTTCCTATGTGATGTCTTCCCACTGAAATCAAAGCTCACGTTGGCTTAACCCTTTCCAGCTTCTCACTAATGGATTTCACATCTCTGCTCTCCAGTAAGATTTCCAGCTGTTGCATTAAACAAGCCAGGTCTTCTCTATGGATAACGAGTTCTGCTGTTCTTGATGACTTTACTAGTATCAAGATAACAGCCCGGGTGCCCTCCAAAAGAGGCCAGTCAAGGGAGAGTAAACTGTCCTATTGCTGACAAGGTCACAATGCTCTTATGCTCTCCAGCAAAGGCCACCTACGAAAATGTCAGCTGTAGACAATAAAACGTACAAATGTGCTATGCTAAATGTGCTGAAAGGGCAGACAGGCCAAATGCACAAACATTTCAGCAGCAGAAGTCTTCAGGAGGAGGGCTGCCCAGCAGGAAAAAAACCACCTCCATGTGATTGTAAATGAGTTAAGCCCCAGAGGCAGCTGCTTTCTATCCTTTTTAAATAGAAAGAAAGTTGTCTTGAAGACTGACACATCTTACAGGAGAGGACTTGGCTAAGAACCTAGTTATTCAACAACCACCATGCAACATGTCAATATAGCAAACCTACCAAGGTTTCACCTATAGTAAGAGCCATGAAAGCAATTACTTGCCTTCAGGTAACAAACACGAAAAGGTGAAATCCTGTTGATGCTTGGAAAACAGAGTGCATGTGTGTATGCGTATACATATGTGTCTATGTGTGTGTACACATATATATATTTAAAATTGATATAGGTCAGACAGTTAATGTCAGCTTATACAAAAGAGAATATAAAAAATATTTAGACCATAAACTGTCTCAGTTTACTCTCTTCTACTGTTATAGAAGAATAAAACAAAAAAATCAGTTTCTAAAATGGTCTTGCAGACATATATTACTAAATAAATTTGAGTATTAGAATTATTAAAAAATATGTGAACTGCAAAAGAGGAAATATTTCCAAGGAAAGAGTAAGTAAGCTACAACTGAACACAATGGCAGGTCCTGTTCTCTCTATTTGTATCATCTTCAGAAACTACTCACTGACGGTTTTCTTTGTATCTCATTGCAGTTTGTCCGTCACAGTGAGTAGGTGAAACCCAGAAGCCCAGTCTCAGCGTGCTTTCTTGCCAGATTAAATCTAAATTTGCACCATGAAAATCTGGGGCACTCATTCTATGCAGAAACTCCTCACTTCTGTTTTTCCTTGTACCCTGCTGCACTCTGCCCATCATAGTACAGCAGTCAAGAACTAGCAGCTCAGTTCTTGGCATTCTTTTGCACTTAGATTAAACCTAAATTTGTACCATGAAGATCTGGGGCACTCATAATGGTTTATGCAAAGTAATTTTAAGGGGAGAACCATCTGCTCCACTTTTGAAAGGCCACTTTATGTACCTCTCCTATAACTAAAGCAGCTGAGTGCAACACAGATGTGTCGGGCATATGGGAAGTCCATTTAGCTAAAATCTACCTTGTATGAGTCATCAGGAAAAGCTTCTTCCAAACCATAAATTACAAGAGGAGCCTATAGATTATCTTGGACAAATGTGGAAGGCATTTAGGTGCCCAGAGATGCAGTTAAACACCTACTTAGGAGTTAAACTCCCACTAGGAGCTGTTCCCACCAGCTCTTAATTGTGATGGGACAGTCCTCTCTGACACTCACCTGAATTCCAGGATACTTGATTAAAAGATCCAATCTGCTATTTCCTCTTTGCAATCAGGTGTTTCCAACAGTCCTGAATTCTCCCCTCCCAACCCCATTGCCTCCTATTTTTTTATGAAAATGATCACACGCACGGAGGGCAAAACACGGCAGGCCCCCCCTCCCAACTCCCAGTTCCTTATTGGAAGCAATATTTGAAAAAGAGTTGTTGTCTACTGTGTTTTCATCCAGCCTAGGAGCCTGAGGTAGGGGACAGAAGAGAGAGTTAGTGTGAAATCCTCCTGGAAATGCATTCAGTATCCACATGATTGCTATCGAACAAGCTTTATTTCTGCTGCTGATTTACATGCAAAATATGTAAGAAGTAAAGTAGGCCCTATAGCAAGTTTTAATTTGCCCACACTGGAAATTGTATATAGGAGCAGTGGAAAGAGTTTAAAGAATCCTGGGTTAATTTTAAGTGTTGAAAGGAGAGCTGTACTTTTTCAAAACTTTTCCCCTTTACAAGAGAGTGCTGGTATGGGATATGACACCCAGACTGAGGAGATCTTCCTTGCACCTTCTTCAATTTAATAAATCTCCCATAATTTATCTTTACAAATGGGACATAGTTCCCAAGGTGGCTATAAAAACCCACTACAGTGGCAGGTTCTATACTCCAGTACAAAAATTCTAACAAGCAAAAATGACATATTTGTCCCTCCCATCAAGATCCTCAAAGCTGGGAAATGCTAGAATTCAGTTTTTAAAAAAAAACCCACATGCACTGCTCCTGTATCTCAGAGTCAGGTGGACAGAACTGGGACAGGGCCAAAAGAAAGTAATGAAAATGTTGCATTATGCTGAAATGCTGTAACGAAAGAACAGAGAAAATTTAAATTTTTATCCCTCTCACCAGAAAATGAAAGTATGAGGCCCTACAGGCAGCACATTAGTATGGCAGACCCAGGATGATCTTATTTGCGGAAAGGAGAAAAATATGACATCATCTTATCTCTATGGCTATGAACTAAGTTTATTTAGTGGGAAGTATCTATTAGTGAGTAACCTCCTAAGAGTCTCTACAGGCATTAAATGTCATTGGAAGTATTAAATCTATAATTATTCCAATAACTTAATACTAAATGCAACAATCTAGGAAACTACGAACATTGTGTGTGACTCATTGTGCTCTGTGTTTTGCATTGCTGTATGCTTGGGCACTAACTCAATGGAAACCATCAAAAAATTGTTGAAAATACAAGCAGAAAAGTTAATGCAGTTGCTCAGATAAAGAGCATTCCCTCAAACACAATTGCCAGATTTAGAGACATAAGAAGAGATTCTTTAGTCCCTTCCAAGAGACATAGTTGTTTTGCCAAGCCTGGAGGGAGGAATTAAAAAAAAAACGTAAGGGAGCTAGACCCAAGGTTTAGGAGGGGGAAGATGCAGAGGGCAGTCTAAACATAAGGTGGGCACTGGGACCATCGCAGGCTATTCCTCCCATCTCATAGATTGACAATAATCGGGAGACATTTGAGCTATGAAAAAGAGAGGCCATGGACTGAAACGAAATGTGCATGTGTGGGCTGTAGTTTGTAGATGTGATGATTTTGTACCTTATTCAATCTATTTGATACTTCCAAGTATCAAAGTTAAAAGGTCCTCTGTTTAAAATAATTTTTTACTCATTTTAGCCAGCTGTTGTCAAAGGGGAAGCCATGCGAGGCCCAATTCATGTTAGACCAGTGGTCTCTTACTGGTGAAACTGCAAGGAGGAGGAGCTGGAATCCAGTTTCCAGCTGGTTTTAGAGAACTGCAGAATTTCTTGAGAGCTGTAAGAGGTGAAGGGCTGAGGCCTCACACTGCTGAGGTGTAGGCAGAGAGAAATACAAGAAGGAAAAGCACAGCTGATCTGGTAACCGTACTACACGTATAGCACATGTACAGAGCACCTCTATGTAGCCCTTCACTCATTGATTTTCAAGTACTTTAACCAGTGCATCTGCTAGTACACACCAGTAGAGTATAAAGGCTTCACAGCCAGCATTAAACATTTGGGTCAGATTTGGCATTTGTTTCTTTTTTGAATAATCATCTCACAGAAATTTTTCTTACAATTAAAAGGGAGTTTGGTACCTTGTTGCAGTCCCAGCAGAACTTGCTTTCATAGCACAGTTTTACCAGGATGCTGGTCAAGCTGGAGCCATGCTTCCAAGAAGGGGAGCCTGCAGCATGCATGCAGCGTGCAGTAATGCATCAGACTTGTGTCCCTGGGTGAAATGCCTTAGAAATTTTGAATTGGTTTGATTCCATGCGTAGTTTTGAAAGTCATTCCCAAAACATCCAGCCAACCTCTTATTTGCTTCAAGCATAAATTGGGTGGAATTTGATACTCCTCTTTACCTGCTCACTCAAATAAAACCAAAAAATTCTAAACTGTATTTCAGGGTATGAGACCCCAGGAAATGACCTGAATTAATATGCAATAGGTGAGCAGTCAGGCATCGTGTTTTACAACATTTCATCACTGTTACTCTTGGGTGTCCAAAAGATACAAGCTGTGCTTCCTTGCTCCCTGATCTAGGGAATACGAATAGAATACCCTTGATGCTCCACTGTCTTACAGTCCCAACCATGCAAATAATACTAACTGTAACACCTCTTACTGGGAATACTTATGCTTAAGACAGAAGGTCTACTCATGGTAATAACGGCTTATAAGATGAAGCCTTACGAAGAGTACAGAGAAAGGACCGCAGGTGTTGGTAACACCTCTTCTTCCTTTCAGCGCACAGAGGGTGATGTTAAACAGCACCACCTTCCTTAATTGGCCAATTATACTAAAGT